CGCATGAAAGCACACACAAAACAGCGTTCCAATTTGGGACAGTTCGACTCCTTACCAGTTCGAACTTGTAACAGTTCGATTCTGTCCGCGTTCTGTTCTGGTACGTGTGCGAAAAAAGGACTGTTCTGAATTGAATCAGTTCTTTTTTAGGTCTGTTCGAATTTGAAAACGTTCGAATTCGTCGTACCCCCCTGAAGTTCGTCAACAATTCTGAAGAATTTCATCTTGAATTCAGCTTAAAAACACAGAAAGTCGGAAGGAACCTGAAATTTTGATTTTTTAAAGTTTTTCTAGAAATTTCGATTTTTTCAGATTTCCAACAGATTTTATGTCAATTTTCAAATATCTTCGGGTTTCTGATAATTTTTTATCATATTCTCGACAATTTGCACTGCAAAAAACCTGAAAAATTGGCTGAAATTCGGTGGAAATCTGAAATTTTCTTCATCAAAAAATTTTCCGCGGTATCAACAGTTAAAGGCGCGTAATCCTAAAAGCTTCTTTGAGTCTCACCACGATTGTTTAATTTTAGGTTTTTTGCAGCTTTTTTGACAATTAACAAATATTTTCAAACATTTTTTAAGATGCTTATACAGGTTTCATTAGAAAAATACATTTTCTAGCTTTAAAATTCCTGAAAAAAACCCAGGAAAGCCCACTGAAAAAATTATTTTTTCTACCGTAATCTTAAAGGAACATGTTATATCGACGGATGGTCTCGCAACGATTTTAATTTTTTCTCTCATCGAATTCATTTTTTCCATCAATTATCAAGAAAAAGTCTTTATTTTCCCCTGTTTTTCGCAGATTTTTCTCCAATTTTTCAGGTTTTGAAGGACAAACAGACACACAGACAGGCAAATGGAAGAGGAAAATCGACAGTGGTCGTGCTTATCGGGTCACTTCGGCCACCGGAATTTTTTGTTTATATAAACGTTTATAATTTATTTTCCCTTTTGTTTTCAGGCTAAATTTTCGAGATTTTACCGATTTTTTCTTAAATAAACGTTTTTTATTGCATTTTTAACCTAAATTATCGATTTTCCAATTTTTGCCAGACAGAAAATGATTCGAAACACTGCGAAGAACAAAAACGGCATTATCACTCGGACGAATTTCGATTTAAAGAAGGATTTGAAGTAGTCTAGACTAGAATTTTGCGAAATTTTCGAATTTCCGACTTTCAGATTTCAAAAATTGACGGCTGTCTCGAATTTGCGGGTGCAAAATGGCGAAATGTTGGCGGCGGTGACCGAGAAATTGCTGATTCATTATAGTGATGGGAAGGGCGAGAGATATCAAGGTGGATATAGATTTTATTAGAAAATCGAGTAAAAAGGACTGACAATCAGTGAAAATAGGCCGAAATTGGCCGTAAAAAACTGATTTTCGCTAAAAATCGGAGTTTTTTGAAATTTCGAAACTTTTTTTTCAAAATCTGAAATTTTGAAAATCTTCAAACGGAAAAACATATCAAAATCTCATTTTTCGACAGTTTTAAATTTCTGAAAATTCTAAAAATGGGAGATTCTGAAATCCCTTAAAATCTTAAATTTCGAAATTTCCAAAATTCTGAAAATCCAAAATTTTTAAAAAATACGTCTGATTTGAACATTTTAGAAAATTCCGAAAATTCTGAAATCTATAATTTTCAAAATCTGAAATTCGTAATTTTTTTGAAAATCTCAAAAACTCAAATTCGAAAATTTGAGATTTTCAAATTTTTGAAAATTCTAAAATTTCAAAAAATCTGAAAATCGTAATTTTTTGAAAATCTCAAAATTCTAAAAATCGGAATATCTGAAAATTCAAAAAATTCTGGAAATCCCAAATTTTCCAAAAAATCTCGAATTCTGAAAAATCTGAAAATTTTCAAAAAAAAATCTAAAATTTGAAAATCTCAAGTTTCAAAAAATTGAAATTTCCAAATTTCCGAAAATTCTAAAATTTCAAAAATTCTAAATTCTAAAAAATCTGAAAATTTTGAAAAAAACAATATAAAATTTGAAAATCTCAAGTTTCAAAAAATTGATATTTCCAAATTTCTGAAAAATCTAAAATTTCTAAAAACCTAAAATTCTAAAAAATCTGAAAATTTTGAAAAAAAAATCTAAAATTTGAAAATCTCAAATTTCAAAAAATTGATATTTCCAAATTTCTGAAAAATCTAAAATTTCAAAAAATCTAAAATTCTAAAAAATCTGAAAATTCTAAAATTCCAAAAAATCAAAAATTCTAAAAAATCTGAAAATTTTCAAAATCTGAAAATCTGAATTTTTGAAAACCTCAAAATTCTAAAAATCGGAATATCTGAAAATTCAAAAAATTCTGGAAATCTAAATTTTTCAAAGAATCTCGAATTTCAAAAAATCTGAAAATTTTGAAAAAAAAATTCCAAAATTTGAAATTTTCAAATTTCTGAAAATTCTAAAATTTCAAAAAATCTAAAATTCACAATTTTCTTTTAAATCTTGATCTCTAAGAATTCAAAAAAAGTCTCGAATTCTGAAAATTTCGAAAATTGCAGATTTCTAACAAAAATTCTAAAATTTGAATCTCAAAAATCAAAAGTTTTGAAACTTTTGAAGTTTTGAAGTTTTGAAAGAAATTGAAATTTTAAAAAAATTCAAAATATCAAAAAATCCCGAATACAGCGACTGAAAGTTCTGATCTTGAAAATCTTGAATTTCTAAAATTTCGAAATTTCAAAAAAAATCCCAAAATCTTCCAGAAATGCCTCTTCCCCTCCAATCCCCAGACCACGTCGCCCACATTCATCTGTGTCGCACTGGCTTCCATTCAATTGTCTCCTCAAAACTCGGCCACAATTTCTACATTCATTTGAAATCCAACACGGTCCATCACCTGAAAAAAATCCGTTGCGTCGTGACGGCCGTCGGATGGAATCCCGACTATTCGAAGGATTCCGATACGACTGGACCGATTCTTTTGGGGACGTTACAGGGTTCTATCATAGAGTTGAATGTGGGAAGTACGGGAATGATGACGACACTGAAAGAGCTAACACCACACGTTGCGCAGATCGCTGAGCAACGAATGACGAGTGCTCCGTCGCCGGCGGCAGCGATTACGGATATTCAAGTAAAATTCTGAAAACAGAGTTTCTGAAAATCTCGAAATCTCAAAATTTGAAGAATTGAAAATCATAAAAGTTCGAAAATCTTATATTTCATTAAAAAAATCGAAATTTTCGTTTTTTTCAAAAAAAAAAATAGTCCAAAATGGTCAAAAATTGACCTGAAATTGGCCTAAAATGGATCGAAAATGGTCTAAAGTCAGCCTCAAATGGTCAAAATTGACTTCAAATAATCCAAAAAAGTCTTAAAATGACCCAAAATTGGTTCAAATTAGCCTAAAATTGGCCTGAAAATGTCTAAAAATTGTCCAAAAATGACCGAAAATTTCGTCAGAATATCAGAATATTTGAAATTAGAAAATTTCAAATTTCAAATTTGTGTTTTCTAGGTCAATTTGACATGGTGGCCTAGCTTTTGCAAGGTGCGTTTTCTAGGCCACCACCTATTTTTGGCCTACAAACGGCCTAACACGACCCTGGTGTGTTTTCTAGGCCAATTTGACATGGTGGCCTAATATTTGCAAGTTGAGTTTTCTAGGCCACTACCTATTTTTGGCCTACAAACGGCCTAACACGACCCTGGTGTGTTTTCTAGGTCAATTTGACATGGTGGCCTAACTTTTGCAAGTTTCGTTTTGTAGGCCACCACCT